AACTAATTTCAAGTCCGGCTCTGTTTTTTTTTAAATATTTAATCTATTCATCGTTACAATATTGATTATCATTCAAACTTAACAATGATGATTGATTGATTTTCCGTATTCAATGTTTCACCCCACAAACATTGAATACGGAAAATCAAATGCAATAAAATAATTAATATAAATAAAATATAAACAATCAAATTATTTTCCGGGAAGATGGACTGGAAATGGTAGAGTAATATAATTTATACTGCTCTACCATTTCCAAGTATAATGTTCAGCGAGGTTCCTGTACCTATCGCCAAGGGGTTACACTACTTGACGTCATTTGTAAAAGTGAAATGAATTCATCTCAACATTTACAATAAAGAGTACAAAATGCATTCGGAAGTATAAGAAGAAAGGTCAAAGAGCTATAAATAAAACTGAACGAAAAATAAATTTGTGCAATAGGGAGGGTGGTAACGCTTTCGAACATGTAGAATATTAAAAACTAGTTTAGAGAAGTTGATTTATTTGTAATAACTACGACTAATATTATGCATATTATGAGGTCGCACACTGAGATTTCAAATTCACAATAAAAAAAGTTAAAAATAATATCTTTAAATATCTGACCTGGATATTATTTATTTGAATCTTCCAATTGGCTCGATTTTCCTTATTTAATGTTAATTAGCGCTGATCAATATTGCTGCGATGAATATAATCAGATTAAATTACCAGAGTCGGACTTGAAATTATTTTAAATATAATTAAATAGTTTTGTTGCTGTTAATGTAACCCAAAACAAAAAAAAATATAAAGTGTGGCATATCATTGTATTCAGGAGACCGAGTTTTTTCAAAATCTGAAATAAAAAATGCAGGTCCGTATTTAAAAAAATTAAGTTGGCCTCTGTATACCACAAATTATCAGCTAATTTGAAAATCTAAAAATACTATCAGATAGCCTTAATAAAGTGGATATGAGAATATGCAATTAGCTTTTTAATTTTCTAAAAAGTAACGACAGGAAAAAATAAAATTGATTTTCAAAAAAATCAGTTTTTTCCAAAAATCTCAGCAATCCTTGAACTTTTAAAAAAAATTTTGATGGCATCTTGGTGAACATCGCAATACGCGTATCGTATCTATTACGGTTACCGAGATACCAATACTCGTACCTCGAATTTGTAGCACCCTGTATATCGAGAAACTTTTGTGCCTAGACGTAAAAGTGCTTTACTTTTATGCCTAGGCGTTATAATTACTTTTTTATGTTGTCAATCACGTCGTAAAAATTAATACTTTTGTGACGTTCGAAAAAATATATATTTACAACTTTCAAAACTTAAAACTTATGAAGTAAAACAATGAATTTACACTGCTGAATTTATCGACGTTTTTAAAAATTTAAGTTTTTTTTTAATATTAAAGAAGTTTGACTAGTAATAATTCATAAACTATGAGACTATGAGGTATAATAATTAGTAGATATTTTGGTAACCTAGCCTGAATTATCGTATAAAGCCAGATAATATCAAATGGATTAATCTTGTGTTTCCGACTTTCGTTATAGCCAAAATATCCTAAATATCAAAGACCTTTTTGCGAAAATTTTGGAAACCACTGTATCTTTTCCGCATTTTCTTTCTTGTAAATTTAATCTACTACGTATTGTGCCATATTATCAACAATTTATGTTTCTTAACTAAAATCTAAAAAAATTCCAATTTTTTTAGATTTTTTCGCGAAAAAACCTCATACTCGTGTTTCTAAGGTCGAAATATACTACCGTGAAAAATATTTGCACTTATTTAAGATTCACCCTGTATATGCCCTTTATCTGAAAAAATAAATATAAAGCTATAGGTACGATAACGTTTATAATCCAATATAAACTGACAAGGTAACATTATGTAAAACGTCCCTACTATTATAACGGCCCTTGTAAGCCGGCGAACCCAATACCCGACACCACACATATTTAAATCAATTAGGGGGTTGCCTATCGATTATCTGCCCACATGGTGACGTCACCTGACCTATTGCTACTTCCACCCTAACTGGATAAAACGACTTCCTGGAGCGTGGGACTTTCCAAGATGCCATAATAAAAGGTTACACTTAAAACATAACACAATCATTACGTGATATAAACAAACAGGGAGATACTTCGTTTTTAAGTGTTTTAAAAGTGTTTTTTTTTCTTTTACAAATAATACAACTCAAAACTTCAAATACACAAGTATTAAACTCATTAAATTTAATTATTATATTATTAAAAGCAAGTGTGTTCTTTAAAATTATTTTTAACTCTCCTTGAATATGTGTGTATGTGTTGGGTCGGTAGGACCTATAAATACCTATATTGTCTATTTAGCATCACTTTAACTACAAAGGTATTAAATGTAGGTATTTTAAAACGAGTTTGCTTTATAATTATTTTAAGCTCTCCTTGAAATTGTTCTAAGGGTTACCTATTACTAAATTCATACAGGGGGCGGCGAAAATGCGCCGGGCATCTGTAGCTCCTAGAATAAAAAAATTGGAAATTTTGATTAATTGCAAACCTAAAGCATGTACAGTTGTACAAATATAGGAAGAGACTTGGGGATAGCACCGGTCGCGTGTTATTTTATATTTCTCACGTCTCTAGCTATACTTGTTAAGTTGTACTAGGATGTATTTCAGGAAAATATTTTATCTTCGACAGGATGGCTCAAAAAAGTGTCAGTGGATCGGGATGATTTTTTTTTAAATGAAACACCCTGTATATTATTGCATTTTTGTTTTCCTTTGACATAAACGGACTTTACATATTCGTAAGATATGAGTAGATATGTTTCGATAGTTTCAGAGATATTAATAAATAAATAAAAAATATATTTTTTCAGCCTTTCTTAAAAAAATATTAAAAATACAAGAACTATCCTGAAATCAAAATTATATTAGGTATTTACTTTAGATGGTTTTTACTTACTTTGCTCTAAATATCGCAATCTTAAATCATACAGGGTGTTCAAAATTCTAAGCCAAACTATCTAAAATCTATACTAATATATAAAATCGTTAAGTAACTGACATACTGATTAATCACTATCCTGCTCAAACCACTCAACGTAAGAAGGTCAATTTTGGCATACAGGTTGATTCTAGGGTGTAGAGGTTCGATAAGGATTTTTCGAAATTCCAGTTTCAAGAGGGTGAAACCACCCCTCAAATATTACAATATTTTTTATTTAAAAAACGGTCAAGTTTTCGAAAAAACGCTTAAACACGTATATTTTATTTTGTTTTTTTACATATTTTAAGATTTCTTAAAAATGTATACAGGGTGTTTCGAAAAATCTTGTCATTGATTAATCACGATCCTGCTTAAAGCGCTTGACGTAAAAAGCTGATTTATGGAAAACAGATTAACTTTAGGGTGTAGAGGTTCGATAGGAAGGGATTTTTCGAAACTCGAATTCTAAGAGGGTGAAACTATCCCTCAAATATTAAAATACTTTTTATTTAAAAACCGGTGAGTTTTTCGGAAAACTTTTAAACACGTATATTTTATTTTGTTGATTTACATATTTTTAGATTTTTTATAAATTTATACAGGGTGTTTCATAAAATATGACCATTGAGTAATCACGATTCTACTTAAACTGCTTGACGTTTAAAGCTGATTTTTGGCAAACGGATTGACTGTGGGGTGTAGAGATTCGATAAGGAGGGGTTTCTCGAATCTCAAATTCCACAAGAGGGTGAAAATATTCCTCAAATATTACAATATTTGTTATTTAAAAAACGATTAGTCTTTCGGGAAAACGCTTGGACAAGCATAATTTATTTAGTTTTTTTGCATATTTTGAAATTTTTTAAAAAATCATACAGGGTGTTCCAAAAAGTTGGGTAATTTCTTAACCACGATTCTGCTTAAACTGCTTAACGTAAAAAGCTTATTTTTGGCAAACAGATTTTTCGAAACTCAAATTCCAACGAGATGAAACTACCCCTCAAATATTACCAAATTATATAATAATATCGCCATATTATTTTTTCTCATGCTGATATAAATGTGAGAAAATTTTATCCAGTTTGTATGTTAATGGAAATTCTTGCTTTGCTTTATCATCACCATTACAAATGATTAATTCGACGCAAACGAAGTCGCTGGTACACGCTAGTATAAAATAATTTGTCTTGTTGTTTTTTAAGTGAAACATCCTGTATATTATTTTTTATTAGATAGGGGAATGAAAAAATTAATTATCATTTTTGGTATTTAGAATATTTCAAAAATTTTAACAGTTGCGCAGATATTCCCGATTTTATATTTCATATGGCATTTTCCACAGTAAATTTTTATCAAAGCCATCCAATGATTTTTCTCTGGTATTTTGCCGTGGAAAATTTTTGAAATGCCGTAAATACAAAAAATGTCCATTTTATAATTCTCCATCTAACAAAAAATTAATATATAGGGTGTTGCATTAAAAAAACGAAAAAAAAAATATATAATTTAGAAAAATTTGGCGTAAAATTTTAAATACCCTGTCCCCTGTATGTTTTAAGATTACGATATTTATAGCAAAGTAATTACAGCCCATCTAAAGTAAATACCTAATACAGTTTTGATTTCAGGACAGTTCTTGTATTTGTAACAATTTTTTTAAGAAAGGCTGTAAAATATATATTTTTTATTTATTTATTTATATCTCTGAAACTCTCGAAATATATTTACTCATATCTTAGGATTACGTAAAGTGATCTGAAATGAAGCCAAAAATGCAATAAAATACAGGGTGTTCCATTTAAGAAAAACATCCCGATCCACTCACACTTTTTTGAGCCACCCTATAGAAGTTAAAATATTTTCCTGAAATACATTTTAGTATATATTTTAGGTTGGCACAGAAGCAAAATTCCCAAGTTTTTTATTCAAGAGCTACAGATGCCCGACGCACTATTGTCGGACCCTATATTACCGTTTATAAACAATTCCTCATAAACCTTGATAATGACAAATGCACTTACCATGAACATAGCCCTGCTCTCCTGATGACGATCCCTGACTAGAAGGGGGATGAAACGCGTGATGAGGAGAGGAAAACGAACTTTGTGTTGGTGGTGGTGGTTGCCTATGCTGAGGAGATCCGATTTGGTGACCCGGTAAAGGCTATTAAAAAAATATTACATTAATATCGAAGATGTATATTGTAATCGCAAAACATTTTCCGATGGACGTCATCAATCATATCGACATTGACATTAAAGTCTATAAACCTGACTAAATGAAATTTTGGCAAACATGTTTAAATTTGTTGTATAATTTAAGATACCGAACAGCTCTTCATTTTACTTTATAGAGCAAATGGTTGTAACAGATATTTTATTTAGATTAAATCTGCAAAAATTTGTTTAAACCGAATTTTATTATCGCTATGTTGGTCACATTGTGCCGTATTCAGCAATGTTGTCCTTTATTATTTGACAATTATCCTAATATCAGTCATTATTTTGTATAATATCGTGTTGTTGGATCTTTGTGAGCAATTCTCGTTTTTTTTACCTACTGTCGTAGTTTTTTTTTTAAATTGCACTTTTAAGCACAAACAGTTCTTTTAAGAACTAATTCTAGAGTTTTTGTATTGCATTTCTTGAAATTGTGTGTTGAAAATATGCCAAAGCATTTAAACAGTCGAAGCAAAGGGCTTGTAGCTTCGCTGATAAACAATTTGAACGATAACGTCACAATAATGTCCTTTATTACCCTTGACTACACAGAGAAGTAAGTTTGATTGATAAGCACATTATATCACTTTCAAAGTTAGTTTTTATTCAATTCTGTGATTATTACTTTGTGCATTAATAGCACCCTCTTACTTGATATAACCACTTATGGCGTTGTAAAATGTCCATCAATAAATAAATAAATAAATAATAACGCTTAGAATAATCTACATAATGGACTAATCTTTGCCAATATGTAATAAATAAAATAAGCTATAAAACAAATAAATCAATTAATTACTAAAATATTAGTTATTAAATTAAAAATAAAACCTAAAACTCTTTAAAAAATGATATAATAAATATATTGTTTGTCAATTTTAAATTAAGATTCATCTGATAAATCTATCACAATCTGGCAGCGCTGTCGCCATCGTTTGTCACTCAAAGTTGATCACGTGCATCGGAAATTGTTTTGCGATTACCATACGAGTAGTATTTTCTTACAGTGCATGGAATGTGATGACCTGGTGGACCGCTGTGTATCCCCGGACCCGGAGGTGGTTGCATGCTGGATAACGCATCCAGGGGAGTATACGATTTGGAGCAGGTTGGTTGTCCATCTGAGCTTGTCTTTAAGAACAAAAACAATATACAGAGTGTTTCAAAAAACATGTGCCATATCTCGTGGGAGATTCCTCACGTCAAAATAAGATTTATTTTTCATTATCAACATAGGTCCGATTCTGCTTTGTTTCCTAGCTACAGGGTGTTAAAGTCTCAATATTTTTTTTTATTTATTATAATTTTTTTCCAAGTACTTCTAGCGTTTCGATTGAACTTTTAAACTATATTAAGTTTGAGCTCTTTCAAACTATATTAGGGTTTCCTATACCTATCTGACTTAGATTTTGAATAAAAAGCGATATTTCAATAAAATTGTAATCAAGATGGCTGGTGTTGCCATGGCAATATTCTAGTAACACTTAGTAGCTATTTTCAAAATGGACATTAGTTTATGGACTTTATTTAAATTTATAACAAGTTATTTTTATTTAATTTACCTACAATCTATATCTATACTAATATATAAAATCCTTAAGTGACTGACATACTGATTAATCACGATCCTGCTCAAACCACTCAACGTAAGAAGCTCAATTTTGGCACACTGGTTGATTCTAGGGTGTAGAGGTTCGATAAGAAGGGATTTTTCGAAATTCCAGTTCCAAGAGGGTGAAACCACCCCTCAAATATTACAATATTTTTTATTTAAAAAACGGTCAAGTTTCCGAAAAAACGCTTAAACACGTATATTTTATTTTGTTTTTTTACATATTTTAAGGTTTTTTAAAAATGTATACAGGATGTTCATTGATTAATCACGATCCTGCTTAAAACACTTGACGTAAAAAGCTGATTTTTGGAAAACAGATTGACTTTAGGGTGTAGAGGTTCGATAAGAAGGGATTTTTCGAAACTCGAATTCTAGGGGGGTGAAACTATCTCTCAAATATTAAAATATTTTTTATTTAAAAACCGGTGAGTTTTTCGGAAAAACTCTTAAACACGTATATTTTATTTTGTTGTTTTACATATTTTAAGACTTTTTATAAATTTATACAGGATGTTTCATAAAATATGACCATTGAGTAATCACGATTCTGCTTAAACTGCTTGACGTTTAAAGCTGTAATTTTTGGCAAACGGATTGACTGTGGAGTGTAGAGGTTCGATAATGGAGGGGTTTCTCGAATCTCAAATTCCAAGAGGGTGAAAACGCCCCTCAAAGATTACAATATTTGTTATTTAAAAAACGGTTAGTCTTTCGGGAAAACGCTTGGACAAGCATAATTTATTTGTTTTAAAGTTTTTTTTACATACCTATTTTGAAATTTTTTAAAAAATCATACAGGGTGTTCCAAAAAGTTGGGTAATTTCTTAACCACGATTCTGCTTAAACTGCTTGACGTAAAAAGCTTATTTTTGGCAAACAGATTTTTCGAAAGTCACATTCCAACGAGATGAAACTACCCCTCAAATATTACCAAGTTATATAATAATATCGCCATATTGTTTTTTCTCATACTGACATAAATGTGAAAAAATTTTATCCAGTTTGAATGTTAATGGAAATTCTTGCTTTGCTTTATCATCACCATTACACGCTAGTAAGGTTAATAAGTAAGTATTTATTATTTTATCAAGAAAAATGAAGCAGTATCTGCTGGCGGAAGGAATGAATATGTTACTAGTGATTTTATCTTGTGAGGATAATTGCTTGTTGGCCTGAAGGGTTTATGCTCAAAGATATCCCTATAATAGGAATTTTCTTGACGAGCGTTCCTTTGAAAAACTACTTTTCCTATTTCGCAGAGTTGATAGTATGGTATATGAAAAAGCGAGTAGGCAGAAACCTGTCGTTGGAAGTGAAGAAAATTAATTTGCCTTAATTGGTTCTTTTATAGAAAATCCAATATATCTACAAGTCATCGTAATATAAATCAAAGAACTACTTCTTTATTTTTCTTGATAAAATAATAAACACATACTTATTAAACTATAGAGGGTAAATTAAATAAAAGTAAACTGTTATACATTTAAATAAATTCCATAAACTAACGTCGATTTTGAAAATAGCTACTACCTATCACTAGCAAATTGCCATAACGACACTAGCTAACGACACTAGCTATTTTGATTGCCATTTTATTGAAAAATCGTTTTTTATTAAAAATCTCAGTCAGATAGGTATTGGAAGTGTAATACAGTTTGAAAGAGCATTTAAATTTGCTTCGACTTGTTTAAAAAAATACATAGTGTTGCATTTGAAATTACGAAGTTTTTATGTAAAATAAATATCTAAAATAGACCAGCCATGTTTGATACCCCTGTATACATTTAAGAAAGCAATATTTTTTTTAGTAAAGTTTATTTCTCTGGCTCTAAAGTCAGCACAAGAATTAACTCTGAAAAGTAATGTACAGGGTGTCGACAAACTTTTTTATTATAGCATGCATATTTAAATATCTTTAAATATATCAAAAACCAAAACATTTAAACATATTAAACCCTTATAATACATGCCCTATTTTATGCCCAAGAAATCAAAAATGAAATAAAATACCGGGTGTGTTCCATAAGAAAAAATATAACTTTGGTATGGATCTTAGTTCTGACACACCCTGTACATTTCAAAATAATTTTAAATTATGCACATTGCCTCTCTACATATACCCATAAAAATTTTTGTTTCTGAATCTTTCCGTTTTCGTGTAATCAACCGAGGCGAATGAGGTACGCCACCCTGTATAATTCTGACACTATTATCATCTTCTGTAAACTAGACTATATGAATTTTGATGACTACTTACATTTTCTGAACTGCTAGTGGACTGGAGCAACGTTTCGGTTGCCACTGCAGTAGCAGCCGTCTGCGTGTGACTGGTGGCGGAGATTCTGTACTGCATTCCTGCTATACTGCAGTACCCCTCGTGATGGGTAGACCTCGTGGTACTATTCACGTACACCCCCGTAATCGTTACGTCAGTGTCTTGATTCAAAATGACCGCAACTTTTTTATTAGGAGTCGTGTGCACCTCGATCAATTTCCGATCTTCGTCTTTTTTTATTTCCTCCTTGATGTTTTTGGTCAAGTCGATTTCTTCTTCTGCTGCGGCAAAGTATTCTTCGGCCGATGAGTCAGAGTCGTCATCATCGCCAGAAGAGTCGCCATATCTATTCGGAATAATATATCAATAAATAATTGTTAAAAGGATAATTTTTAATAACAACAGCCATAGAAACTTAAGTAAACTCCTCGGTAAACTCTAATTCTCTAATAGAATTAAATCATTTCCGAAGAGTTCTATATTGCATAAATAAGTGTTTAAAATATTTCAAGCATTGCTGGGTTTTTTTCAGAAACGGATTATTTTTGAAAATCAATTTTATTTTTTACTGTCGTTACTTTTTAGAAAACCAAAAAACTCATTGCACATTCTCATAGCCACTTTATTAGGGCTATCTGACAGTATTTTTAGATTTTCAAATTAGCTGATAATTTGTGAGATACAGAGGCCAACTTAATAGTTATTAAATACGGACCTGCATTTTTAATTTCAGGTATTGAAAGAACTCGGTCTCCTGGGTAAAAAAATGGAGAGCAGTATATTTGCCAGCGAGGTTCCTGGTCGTGTCCCCAAGGGGCGGGGGGTCATTACTTGACGTCATTTGTAAAAGTGAAATCAATATATTTCAACATTTATAATAAAGAGTACAAAATGTATTCGGAAGTATAAGAAGAAGATATGTTCATAGAGCTATAAATAAATAAGATTGAACGAAAAATGAATTTGTGCATTAGGGAGGGTGGTAACCCTTTCGAACATGTAGAGCATTAGAAACTGGTTTGTAGAAGTTGATTTATTTGTAATAACTACGATTAATATTATGAGTATTATTAGATCGTACACTGAGATTTCAAATTCACAATACACAAAGTTAAAATTAATATCTTTGAATTGCTGACCTGGATATTATTCATTTGAATCTTTCAATTAGCTCTATATTCCTTATTCAATGTTAATTAGCGCTGATCAATATTGTTGCGAAGAATGTAATCAGATTAAATAATTTAAAAGACCAGAGCCGGACTTGAAACTATTTTAAATAATGGTTTTGTTATTTGTTATTGTTAAAGTACCCAAAATAAAAAATATATCGGCCCAAGGCAAACTTTTGAAGTTAACTATTAATTTTTTAGAATATATTTGTCAGATTAAGAAAAAATATATACTATTTGAAAGACAATTTCATATTCTTTGAAAAGAGTTTAGAGATATTAATTTGTATTTCGCTTTCTTCGGACTAAAATTATTAAATTAATGCATGAAACAAATTATCGTTTTTTATTACTAAGGTGTATGTCATTATTTAATTTATTTATTTATTGACAATTAACTAAAATAAATTTTCAATAATGGGTATGATCTCCTCTTGCTCTTACAACATCTCTCATACAATTTGGCATAGATTCAATCAAGTTTGATATTGTTTTTTGCGGGATGTTAAGCCACTCTTCTTCTACTGCAACAATGAGCTCTGGGATAGAAGTTGGAGCTCTTCGTTTAGCACGAATTATTTGTTTTAGCTCATCCCATAAATGTTCTATCGTGTTTAAGTCTGAATTGCATGCTGGCCATTCCATACCACGAAAACCGACTTCTGAAATGTAATCGTGAACGATTCTAGATTAGGTTAGGTTAGTTGTGCCTTCGCATTGTCATGCATAAAAGTGAATTCGTTTCCAATGTAGTCGACGTAAGATACCACATGAACTGCTAAAATCTCCTCAATATACCTAGCACCAGTTAAACCTCTTCTCCCATGCCGACGGTCGTCCCAACGGATGAAAACTGGGTCGGTTCGCGCAGTTATAGAAATTGTACCCCTGATCATGCAGAAACCACCTCCATAAGCAATCCGCTTCTCAATGCAGCATTCTGCGAATCGCTCACCTGGCCTCTGGTACACTTTTCTTCTTCGGTCGCTACCATAAAGGCATATCCTGGTCTCATCTGAGAATAAAACACATTCCCATTGTTCTAGTGTCCAATTCAGATGTTCCGTGCAAAAGGCAGGCGTGTTTGACGATGAGCTGGGGTAAGTGTTGGACCAATTACGGGTGTTTTGGGGGTCATGTTACTTTCCTTCAATCTTCGTCGTACTGTCCACTGACTAACAGTTACTCCTCGTGTTTCACGAAGCTGTTGTTGCACCTGAATAGCCTTAAGATGCCGATTTCTTAATATTGTTGACATAATAATGCGGTCATCACGATCCGTTGTATATCTCTTTCTACCAGTTCCAGGTCGTCTACGAAAGGACCGAGTCTCCTCATATCGTTCACACACTCTTCGAACCGCTCCGCGAGTCATATGCAGTTGCCGAGCTACAGCTCTCTGTTTAATTCCATTTTCGATTAAAGGGATTACTTTGGCAGCTTTTTTCCGTGATGTATGCATTAAATTGAAACACTAATAAATCAATGAAACACAACAAATCAAACAACGAAAGAACAATGTGCACATTTCGATTACAAAGTAACAGTAAAGTAGTAATGGCAATATTTGATAAGTTTTTTATTCTTATTGTCACCACAACATAAATGCCTTTCATTTGTTTACCCGTTGCAACGCATATAAACGACAAGTACTTTGGATAAATTTATACTCATATCAAAGCATGTTAAATTGTCTTTGAAACAACTCATATTTTTTTCTTGGTCTGATAAATAGATCCTAAAAGACACAGTTAAAGTCAAAAGTTCACAATGGGCCGATTTTTATGCACGCACGTTTATATACAGGGTGCTACAAATTCGAAGTACGAGCATTGGTATCTCGGTAACCGTAATAGATACAAAGATGGTTAAATTGGGGCAAAGTTGCGCTTTGGGATGTTCACCAAGATGCCATTAAAAAAGTTTTAAAAATTTCAAGGATTGCTGAGTTTTTTCGAAAAAACGGATTTTTTTTTAAAATCAATTTTATTTTTTTCTGTCGTTACTTTTTAGAAAATCAAAAGACTAATTGCACATTCTCATTGCCACTTTATTAGAGCTATCTGACGGTTATATTTTCAAATTAACTGATAATTTGTGAGATACAGAGGCCCACTTAATTTTTTTAAATACGGACCTGCATTTTTTATTTCAGGTTATGAAAGAACTCGGTCTCCTGAGTACAATGAAATGCCACACTTAATACTTGTTTTTATTTTGGACATTTGAGCACAACTTATTTAAACTAATTTCAAGTCCGGCTCTGTTTTTTTTAATTTAATATTCATCTTTCCAATATTGATAAACCTTCAAACTTAACAATGACGTGGGGAAAACATTGAATACGGAAAATCAGATGCAATGAAATATTAAAAAATAATATAAAAATAATATGTGTGTGTGAAATCAATACATCTCAGCATTTACAATAAAGAGTACAAAATGCATTCGGAAGTATAAGAAGAAGATCTGCTCCAAGAGCTATAAATAAAATTGAACGAAAAATAAATTGGTGCAATAGGGAGGGTTATAACCTTTTGGAACATGTAGAGCACTAGAAACTAGTTAGTAGAAGTTAATTTATAATAACGACGATAAAATAAATATTATGCAAATTATTAGATTGTACATGGAGATTTCAAATTCACAGTAAAAAAAGTTAAAAATAATATCTTTAATTTGCTGACCTGGATATTATTTATTTGAATTTGTTAATTAATTATTGAATTGTAAATTAGCGCTAATCAATATTGTTGCGATGAATATAATATAAGCAGATTAAATAACTTCAAAAACCAGAGTTGGAAATTATTTTAAATAATAATTAAATAGTTTTGTTGTTGTGAAGGTACCCAAAACAAAAAAACTATAAGTGTGGCATATCATTGTACTCCGGAGACCGAGTTCTTTCAAAACTTGATATAAAAAATGCAGGTCCGTATTTAAAAAATATAAGTTGGCTTGGTTGGTATCTCACAAATTATCAGCTAATTTGAAAACCTAAAAATACTACCAGATAGCCCTAATAAAGTGGACTAAGAATGTGGAATTAGTTTTTTGATTTTCTAAAAAGTAACGACAGAAAAAAATAAAATTGATTTTCAAAAAAATCCGTTTTTTCGAAGAAACTCAGCAATCCTTGAAATTTTTAAAACTTTTTTGATGGCGTCTTGGTGAACATCCCAAAGCGCAACTTTGCCCCAATTTAACCATCTTTGTATCTATTACGGTTTGGTTGTGAGATATTGGTATACCGAGATACCAATGCTCGTACTTCGAATTTGTAGCACCCTGTATATATATATATATATATATATATATATATATATATATATATATATATATATATATATATATATATATACAGGCGAACGTTATCGGAAGAGACTTCGTCGTATACTTCGAATTTGTAGCACCCTGTATATATATATATATATATATATATATATATATATATATATATATATATATATATATATATATATATATATATATATATATATATATATATATACAGGCGAACGTTATCGGAAGAGACTTCGTCAAATCTGGTCTTCCAGTTTGTCTGGAGTGAGTAAAACCCTTGCAACCAACATACTGGCTACACCTATTATCACATACTCCTTTGGTGTAATAAAATGGACGGAGAATGAACTGCACCAACTCGATGTAATAACTCGAAAGATGATGCACATGGAAAAAAGCTTGCACACAAAATCATCTGTCCCGAGGCTTTATCTACCAAGGGAACAGGGAGGACGCGGTCTTCTCAGTTTAGAAAGCTTACACCAAAGAGTGATCCTAAGCACGGCGTACACACTCCTTAAAACTCAAGATCCTTACTAGTAATGGTACGAGACCACGAGAAAGAAGAAATCGGTGGATTCATTTTCAAAGAAGCAAAAAAAGCAGCGAATAAACTCAATCTAATATTCGACCTTCAGCGCCAACATTTAGAATCCATCACAGAACACAGCGCCACACAGGTAGTCAACCGAATTAGGTCCGCACAGAACAGGAGGTTCTTGCAAAATCACGTGGAGACACCCGTGCACGGAGCCTTCTATAACATAATGACACAGCAGCAGCTTTCTGAGAGACTATCGTTTGCTTTCCTGAGGTCGAGCGGCTTAAGATCTGAGACAGAGGGATTTATACTGGCATGCCAGGACGGTGTCTATGGCTCTTTGGTATATCGTAGCCGTATTATGGGCCAACAAATCGAAGATATAAGATGTAGAGCATGCCATCAAGCTCCGGAGACCCTGTGGCACATACTATCAGCCTGCCCTACTTATGCGGCTTCGGTTTATACCCAGCGCCATAACGCCGCATTGAGGGTGATATACTATCACCTTCGTCATATGCATGGATTTGATGAAACGCCAGTACTACCACAAACACCGAAAGAAATTGAGTCCTTGGTGGAAAACGAAACAACCAAAATTTACTGGAACTATCCATTCCAGGCCTTCGGACAAATACGGGCGAACAGACCAGACATAGTTCTCCAGGATATAGCGAAGAAAATAATT